CCTCCTTTCCCCTTGTTTTCTCAACAAGGCAAAGAGGGGAAAGAAGATAAAACAACCCTTGTGGGTAAAACAAAAGCAATTTTAATATAAGCAAAGCGAAGCAAAGGTCCATGCACAGAAGCAAAAATAAGCAAACAGATTTATTCTCCCCGTGCCATGGAGAGGCGCTGTCGGGCCCTCTCAGGAGCAGGGCTCCCATACCGGAGTGGTTGCCTCGGAGGACCAAGGGTGACCCCAGCCCCTTCCTCCTTTCCCCAGCTTTATACTGAGCAGACGTCATGTGGTATGGAATACCCCGTGGGTCGGTTCGGGTCAGCTGTCCTGGCTGTGTCCCCTCCCAAGATCTTGCCCACCCCGTCCCACTGGGGGAAATGTCAGAAAGAGCCTTGGTGCTGTGTGAGCTCCACTCAGCAGCAGCCACAGCCCCAGGGTGCTACCAACACCCTGCAGCTCCCGACATAAAACAGCACCGTGAGGGCTGCCATAGGGGAAAACCAATTCCAGTTCAGCCAGACCCAGTATAGCATTCCACTAAGGTTATCCAGTGAGAAGAGTTATTCCAGATCACTGGAAATTTTAAAAATCCTGTTCTCCAAGGAAAGAGGCCCTGGGCACCCTCTGAGAGTGCACAGATCACTAGAGAGGCAGGGAACCCAGAAAGTTGCAGCATGCTCCTCCTCTCTACTCCAAAACAAGTTTCCAGACTGATAAATTCAAGTGTTGGGAGCTATCTCCCTGAGCAGAAAGGACAGCAGTTAAAGGTGCCCAAGCTTCGGGGATTGCTCAACATTGAAACATACATTTTATTCATCAAAAATCCCAGTGCAAACCTGCACTCTGAAATAGGAGGGAAATGGGAAGGTTTCAGTTTTTCTGCAATGCAACCTGGTTTTGATAATCCTTCAGAGCAACCAGATGCCTATAACCAAAGCAGGGCAAGTCGCTGAAATCTGGTTTCTTCATCAAGAGCTACACAGTTCTACTTCCACTCTGTACCTTGATGAGCAGTGTCCTAGGATGCAAACCTCTGACAGCATTTCTGACAGAGCACAGGGAGCATGCCATAAGGAAATCCATCCATTTCAATCAAGAATTAGGGCCTCCAAAACCGTAACCTAGTGCCTCCTTAAGCATTTCTTATGGAGCCTCCTAGCACACCAATATAGTGAAATGCTAAGTGAGTCAGAATATTAGAAAGAACCTCAAATCCTTTTAAATAAATGCATTGCTGCCCAGAAAGAAAAAAAAAAAAAGTCTCAAGTGTTGTCTTAGGAAAAATTGGGCCTAACTATCTTTGCTGTCCCTCTACATGCACCTCTGCCCTTCCACTGCAGAGTCAAATCTCTCACCTGAGCTTAGGAAGGCTCCCTTGTCTGATTAACATGACTGTGCTCCCAAAGGCTTTGCTCTCCCCATTTTAAACATGGTTATCTAGCCAAAATCTGCAGAGCAATGAGGCTGTACATCCCTTGCAGTGCACAGCCTGCAGCAGGAGACAACCCAAGCCCTGCTTTCCTGCAGAAGTGATCAGCCCCCATGGCAAGCCACCCTGCAGTGCAGCCAGCAGCTGCTGGCCCTGGATGCAAACAACAGCCCAACACCTTCAAGTGTTCCCAGCACAATGGGAACCAAAGTTCAGTGTTAATAGCTGCAACACCACTCCTTCCTCGGAAACTTGTTAAGCCTGGAAGTTGATGAACAACCAGTATAAAGATATTAATTAATACTGGCCTCCAAACAGCATCTGCAGCTGCCAGTGCCTGGCTCAGTGGAAGGACAGGTGACTAAGCATGGATTTAGGAGGTTCAGATGAGGCACGCAGCCTCTACTAGAAGCTCTGACTCAGCCATTCAGATGTACTTCTTGCAGCCAGTCTGCAGGGTATTTGCAAGGAAACATCACATAGCATTAAGCTCTCATGGAGGAACTGTGGGAAGAAGGGCCCTGCATCAATTCCTGAGATGACAGCACCAGTCAGCAAATTAACATGGATTGCATCATAAAAGTATGACTACTTAACTATTAGTCATGGCTGGCAAACTAGGAGGCTTACAGCTATGAGTAGATGACTGGTATAAAACTCAACATAAAGAAATGGGGTAACGAGAACTCATTCCCTCAAGAGAAGAGGCAGCAACATACCCAGGTTTTCAGGTAGAGTTTCCACCCACACATTGCCTGCATTGCAAAATGTCCCAGCAGCTTTGTCTGGCCTCTGTAGGTCTGGCTGAAGTGGAGCACTAACTGAGTAAGGAATAGTTCAGGCTAGAAACCACCAAGTCTGTCTTTAATATTGATGAAATGCAAGACCATTGGGTCACGGTTATGAGTGGAACAAACTGGATAAGGCAGTAGTAAATCCTTATAGTTAATGATTTGAGTCAGTAAATAAATCAGAGAGAGCCTGAATAGTCTTTCAGAGGAGATACCACCAGCTGACTGGACAATAAAAGCTGAGGTACCAGATACATAAACAAACCCCAGAAATACAGGTGCTACAGGTCCCAGACCCGAGTTCCCTAACAACACATTCTCCTCCACTTCCAGGTGCCAGGAGGGCAATTTGCTGGGGCAAGCAATAAGGGGGCTGGGGAAGGCAGCACAAAACGCCCCAAATTTGCAGAGCTCCAACAGCATTTCTCACCTTGGCACAAGCACTGCTCAAGCAGGGCGATACTGCCTCTTGAGCTGAGTCAGCTCCAGGCATTGGCATGGCATTTACTCAGAGTTTGTAACTCCTGCCAAAGTTCAGCTAACCACTTTGAGCCAGCTCAAGTATCTTAGTACCTGCTGCACTTTTTACCCATAAAGTTTCTCGCTGTGAATTCAGTATGATGATGCTTTACCTGGAGCAGTGAAAGCCAGCTCACAGTTTGCAAAGGAACAGCCTGTGAAAGCTCAGAAAAGCACACTGAAGACAGGGTTTAAACCTTTTGGCACCAGTGACGAATTTCATCTCTCCCAAAATGCCTATCTGCCATGCAAAACTCCATGCAAAACTGGCCAAGTGTAACACAATAAAAATACAAAATGTTTTTACTACGCTGTTTTCCTAAAGTAAGCTTTTGATACAAGCATTAGGGCAGTTGTTGTCTTGTATCCTGATTTTAAAATAACTCCTGGCTAAAGCCAGGTGAGGCACTCAGCTCCAGGGCAACACAGAAATATTTACATTACTCATGTGTCAGATAACTGGTGATATTTGTTATTACAGCATGACAGACTCTTTATTTAAAAGCAGAAAATACCTTCTCTAGCACTACCCTCTTTGGAAATAAGGGAAAGAAAACATGTTCTCTAAAAATAGTTAACTCAAAGCCAAGGACTATAACAGAGAAGAGGAGCAAGAAAAGTGAGGTAAAGGCAGGATTCTAAGTGGGGACAATTTTTCGAAAAGATGATCCGTACATACTTTATGCAGCCACAGGGGAATGTTTTCCAAGTTGTTCTGGGATGGTTGCTTCTGCTGCACAGCTGCCCAGCAGTAAGAGTCTACATAAGCAGCCTGTCGCCAGGAGAAGGAGCTGGGTGCAAAACAGCTTATCTGAGCACCTGGGAAAACAAAGCAAAAGTTATATTTAAAAAAAAAAAAAAAAAAAGAAATCAAGTTTAGGAAGAAAAACTCACACTTGGCATCCATTTGGTTAAGTGACCGAATGAAACACAGCAGCTCTGAAGGGAGGAGAGTCACAGAATTCCCACTGCACTCAAAGGGTTAAACTCCCACAGGGGACTCTCTGATGACTTCTAAGGGTTGAGACAGTCTGTTAGAAGTACCTGTCTTTTAGGCCTATTTTCTTAAGTTTTGGGGGGAACAGGACCTCCAAGACCTCCTCTCTCACTTGCACTTGACTCAGGTTGGCCAAAGAGGAACCAGCAGATACCACCACATACCATCATGCCACTGTGTTTCCCAAATGCGCAACCTACCGCTTACACAGTTATTGAAACAAACCTCAGACAACACTCCCGCGGCTCATCAGCCCTTGCAGTGATGCAAGGGCAAGTCTGGCCCAGGGTGCTGCCACTTCTTCTGCCTCTGAGACTGCACATGAGTTTTGTGGGGTTCAAGTCACACACGTGAAAACAAGGATTTCCTCATACAACTTCTGGCAGAGCAATCGTGGCCCACAGATACCTCTAAAGGGTGCCAGACCTCATCAGCACAGTGACATGCTGTGCCCAGGATCAGGTGTACCACTATCATCACCACTCACTTCCAGCACCTCTCCAGAAGCTCAGGAGCTTCAAAATAAGACCAGGGCACTAACTAACAGCAAGAGCAGCTATTTAGCCAGCCTCAGCCTGAGGGTCAAATTCTATTCTGGCTAGCTACAGGCAGCAGTTGAGTCTTATTGCACATACCTCCAACAAGGAAGAGTGGCTATTAGATGTGGAGTATCAGTGGCTCCTCAGATGAGAGAGGATGAGGGGGGTTGATTTTCTTTCTGAGACTTTGGTAGTGAAAGCAAAAAAAAGATGTGTTTTCAGCAGGCTTTCTTAAATGTTGAAACAGGAGAGCTCTTTCACTGAACAATTACACAAAGCGGAGATGGCTTTTCCATGAGCAACCTCCAAGGCTTCCTCCAACACAACACTAATATCAAAAGTGCAAGAAGGGGGAAATAGTGCTACTTTTTTTTCCCCTTTATATATTAATCAAAATTAGTGCTAATGGCATCACTGTGTGCTTTATAGGGGAAAAGTATTTTGTGTAAGATTGTATCATTCTTGCCTTCTTTCTGGTTTAGCTTTTAGAGAATAAGAACTTCTTTTGTAACAGAAGCCAACCATGTTTGCCTTGTAACTTGTATACCCTTTTTACAATGTAGCATAGTCAAGGAGCATTACAAATAAAAGCCCTTCCTTATGAGTCACTGTTATAATTATTTCTAAGGCTGTAGTATAATAAGGACATGGTCTGATCTGTCACAAGCCTCCCTTATGGAAAACAAATTACTGTTTATCAGACCAGAGCTCATATGATTTAGCAAAGTTGGCACCAGACAAGCACTTGCACTCTCCCAAAGCTTTGGGAGTTTCTGCTTTCCAGACAATTTCCATTAGCTGTGGAAGCTCAAGAAATAATACACTGCAGGGGGGAAAAAGGGGAAAAAAAAAAAAAAAAAAAAAAAAAAAGAAAATAGCAGGCGATCAGAATATCTGCTCTCTGCTGGATAGAGACCATTTATGCTCTGCTCTCATCACTTAACGAACCTCCAGATGCTGTCGGTGCCCTGTGTGAAGCAGCAGACAAGTGACCCTTTCAAGGGGTGAGCAATAGGATTGTTCAGAAAGATGCTTTGTTCTATTCATATCTGTGTCTCTGCAACAAGTAACACATTCCATGTGTTCATTCTCATTAATGATTGGGAAACCACTGAAAGTGATGGGAGTGTCTAAATTGGTGAGAAAAAAAAGGCAGCCAGCCTCCTTATCCAAAGAGTTATGTGCACGACTTCACACCAGAAGAGCTACAGCAATGCCAGTGGTGCAGCAGAGCAGTGAACCTCAGTCTTCTTTCTACTCCCTGGGGTTTCAGCAGGGACATTGCAAACCTCTGGTAACTTGGGAGCCAAGCAGATAGAGCTCAACAACAAGAAGCAGCTGGGGACACTCCAGTTATTGCACTGGTTTTTAATTAACTTATTGCAGTCTTGGTTGTAGCACTTGTAACTTCGCATTAACCGTGGAAATGTTCAGGCTTAAACAGAGAGGATGGTTTTGTGCATTACCTACACAGAACACAGATTATTAAATGCATCTAAAAATAGTCACAATTTCCCATCTTTTTTTCCTTTCTTCTCCCCTCCGAAGGAGTAATATCAATAAATATGTACAGATAATTTATTTTATGTTGGTTTATTCTGAAGGAAGTTAAAATATGTAGTTTTTATTAGAGGAGAAATTAGGCAAAGGGCCAGACGCCTTCCACAGACCCTCTGTGCACACATGCATGCACCGAGCTATTTTCTGAAAGGTTAACAGTCCTCTACTATCAAAGGAACAGCCTGGCTTGGTGACATGAAGCTGTTCCCCGTCCTTTCCTCCACAAGTAACAGAAAGGGAGAAAGAAAAGCAGCAGCCAAGCCCATAACAACAGGGAGATAAAATACACAGTGGAAGGATGAGGAACAATAAGTGACTGCATTCATTAAGCAGTTGTCACAACAGTCTTTGGCCAAGTTATCATTACACTTGGCAACGTGGGTTTTGGTTTGTTTTGTTGGGTTTTTTTTCAATCATTCCCTGGTATAAAATCAACTTTGGAGAGTGAGTGATGGGGGATAAAAAAATGCGACTTACTATGGTTGCCCTGAACAAAGACCACCCAAAAGCGCTGCATAAACTTAGGACGGCAACAGCTGTGCAGCCACGTATGATAAACACTCACTTTTACAAGTGCACTAAGATTATCAGATGGAGCTGGTTGCTGATGGCAGGAATTACTTGCAGGCATGCAACTGAGTGCAGAGTACAAGTCTGAGTCACTGCAGCCAGCGAGCTGCAAGGCTGAGCTGTCACCCCACCCAGCTGCAGCATGTCTTCATGTGTGCCCTGCCAACAAGCCTCAGCTATCTCCTTCATTTCTGAACAAGGAAAATCCTTTTTTCCTCTGCAACTGGTTCCTCTGCAGCTCCTATACAGCACTGTAAAAACTGGCTTGGGGACTGCCTACAGGTGGAGAGCCTGTGCCCTGGTAACACTTTTTCAACCACTTTACCTAAGTCTTGCAACCTCATTTGGAAAGGACCTGTTATTAGGTGTCTAAAAAATCCTAGCTGAGACTTCTCCAAGTTGAGATGCAAGCAGTGGGCCTACTATGGCTCCTTTTGCCCAAACAGAAGTGGAAATTCTGGCATTGATGCTAAATGAGCAGGATACAAGTCACTTCTCTGTTTCCCATCTTAATGCCCCTATAGATGCGTTCCAAAAAAGAAACCTACCTACAAAAAGTAACTCCAAGAATCCCAAGGAAAATTTCAAAACTGAAGGACAGAGTCCCTATTCAGCACTGAGCTGCTCTGCTGGGGTGCAAGGCGAGACGAGCAGAGGACTTAGCATCCTCTGGCTGCATCCTTTACTAGAGAGAGATTAACCCAGCAAACTGCACTGGTTTTCTTCCCACTGGAGCAATACACCTCTCTGACTCTAAACATCTAATTAAGAAACTATAACTAACAGAGAGTACTTCCAAGAATCAATGTTAATCATATGCTGAACTATTTTTCCTGAATCAGGATCAGGTGATACAGTAGCTGGCAGGATTAAACCTTCAGTAAGTAATGATTTGGTTTCTAATGCACTGCAATCGCTGGAAAAAGATTTGCATAAGCTTGGATGAAAACCTAGCCATTAATTACTATTATAATTTTCCACCAGGCAAAATGAACTAGCCATGATACCCAAACATTTTATCTAGCAAGAATTATCCACATCAGCACCCACTAAAGGAAAACCCACAAACAAGAAGATCAGGGCACACATAAACAATGTACAGACTGCCAGGCACCATGCAATGCACATCCTTCACCTCGACATTAAAAAATATCTTAAAACATGAAAAAATATGTCTCAACGCATGCCAAAGAAGCAGCAACTGTATGTGTGGGTGCGCACACATGCATTAAGAGTGGACCAGAAGGAATTATTTTATTAGATTTATAGATGCTTCTCCTGGACCAAAGTGGTAGGTTGGGTGAAACAGAATAAACACTGTGTTTAAGAAGGAAGTATGGAGAGGCACAAATGGGGGCACTGGAGAAAAGAACCTGTTCCCTGAGGTTTACTTTGGCAGTGGCATAGTAGCAGAATGTAAAGCTCAGGTGATGCAATGTTTAAGTGGAGTGGGTCAGAGGAGACAGCAAGTACCTTTCCCTCTCCATGGGGCTGCCAGTTAGCCCCCAGGAAAGTCTCAAAATCATGCAGTGAGAAAAGAGCTGGGTATTCATCAAGCATTGCCTTCCGAATGATAGTTTATTTGATTCACAGGAAAAAACTTGTGAATGATATTTCCACCAGTGAGATTTAAGGAAAACAAAAAAGTTTCCCTTCATCTGAAGGAGAAACATCTCAAAACAGTGGCAATGACCACCTGGCTCCACTGCCAACATTGGTGATACCTCAAACCTCAGGCAACACCAGAGGACCGTGATGCTTTTAAAATAAATTCTGACACCAAAAGCAGCTTACCATCATTTTTGTAGGAAATATAAACCTGGCTCTGTAGTAAAAAATCTCCTCACCAAGAGCTGAAGATGTTCACCCAAAGACAATTTAGACCATATTAAAGTAAATGTTTTTACAAGTTTGTCCTGGCTCCCCAGGCAGGCCTGTTCCTGATGCTGGTAACTTCTGCTCTTTACTGAGCACTCCTTATATGCCAAAGAGCAGCACAGCATATGCTGCTGTTTTCTGGGGTCTGCACCTCTCACGAAAGATGCTTTGAAGTTCACAGCTTGGCTGCTCCAAACACTTGTTGACTCAGTCCTGTCATTAATGCCCTGGGTTTCAGAGCATCCTGCTAAACTAAATGCAAGGTATGCAAACATCAACTATTAGCATACAGCCTGCTTCGGCAGCACTTAAGAGATGTTTTTCAAGCTCTCAGCCAACAGCTGCCTAGTAATAGTCTTTGGTCTAGTTACACCCAACTTAACTTTAGCCCTCCAGCTCTTACGGAAGTCACAAGATAGGATTATTTCCTAAAAGCCTCCCCAGCAACTTCTGAATATGAAGGGAGAAGGACATCAGCAGGGAGGGCCAGCAAGGGAGTAGCAGGAGAGAAAAGGAGCATAATTCAAGAATTAAGACTATTTGTTTTGTATACTTGTTGTGATTTAGTCTCACAATTTCTTTTTTCCTTTCTATGCATTTGATACTCATGACTGTTCAAG